CTAACAGCGTTCCCTCCCCTCCCCTCCCACCCCTGGTAACCAACAAAGAAAATTTCCTCCAATAGATAAACCTTTCCTTAACTTTTACAATAACAGAATAATACAATATTTGTCCTTTTGTGACTGACTTATTTCACTCAGCATAATGTCCTCCAAGTTCATCCACATTATGCGGTGTAAAAACTTCCTTTAATATATAATTATGAAGTAACTTTGAAGGGGACCTCACTTCTTCATCCTTAGCCTATCATCAAACATCACCTCATGAATGGAATTGTTGTTAAAACTGGTTCCAAATTACAGCAGCCCTATGTACAAAAGAATGAAATACTATCCAGCCTTTTGCCATCCTCACAATCCTTGCTATGTTTGAGCTCTTGTCACAGCCAAGGTGTTAGTCCATCTCATTGAGGGTCTTCCCCTTTTTCACTGACCCTCAGCTTTACTAAGCATGATGGCATTTTCCAGGGACTGGTCCCTCCTGATAACATGTACAAAGAACATGAGAAAAAGTATCACCATTCTTGTTTCTAATGAGCATTCTGTCTGCACTTTTTCCAAGAAAGATGTGTTCATTCTTCTAGTAGGCCATGGAATATTTAATATTCTTTGCCAACACCATAATTCAAATGCATCTTCTGCAGTCTCCCTTATTTACTGTCCAGCTTTTGCATGCATACGTGGCAGTTAAAAACACTATAGCTTGAGATCAGGCACACTTTAGTCCACAAGTTCACATCCCCACTTTTTAACACTTTAAAGAGACCTTTTGCAGCAGATCTCTATATATTGCTGTACATCATTTGACTTTTTGACTGCTGCTTCCATTGGCATTGATTGTAGTTCCAAGTAAAATAAAATCCCTGACAATTTCAAACATTTCTCTGTTTATCATGATGTCCAATTGTGAGGATTTTTGCTTCCTTTATTTTGAGATGTAATTCATACTGAAGGCTGTAGTCTTTGATCTTCATCAGTAGGTGCTTCAAGTCCTCTTTGCTTTCAGCAAGCA